AGGTGTTAGTGGCCCTAGTGTATATCTGCTGGCTAGAATGAGCTGACACCATTGTGATCAAACCTCTAGCCATCATTTCTCTAATGGCCTTCCTAGCAAGTGATCCATTGATCTGTAAATAAATACATAATCAAACAATTGAAGAAAAATAAGAACCTATAGACCAATTAAATGAATATAAAGTAAGACTTCAATGAAAAAGATCTCAAAGTATCTAGCTGTTCATGTTAATTGTTGTTTCTTTTCTTTAAAAAAAATGTGACTCTCAACAAAAATGTGATTCTCGAGCAGCAGTTACGCTGGGGATGGGGTGGGGCTTTGTAGAAATATTTGTTACTGCAGCAAGCAAGCATTGGAAATCGTGTGAAATCGGATGGTTATAAGATTAACTATAAAATGAATATGATTATTAAGCTACCTCAACATGCTCATTGCCATCCTCATCAGTCCATGTTCGATTAGGAATTCGCTGACGAGCAGCACGATTCCTACTTTCTTGGCCATAGCCAGCAATAGGGGACCCAATCCTCACCCTAACCTGGTGCAAATAAAGTTTTAAACTATCACAATCATGAAATGCAATCACAATATCCACAAACATCAAAACTATCTTCAATTTTTAGGTATTCTTCATCTAATGGCAAAATACACTGTATTTTATGCCAAGCTATTTGAGACACATGATCTGCCAGAGGGCCACTTTGTAGATCCTTAAGATAATTGCTACTGTATAATCACACCTAGTGCTAATTGTCGGGCTTCACTTCTACAAAATAAATGGTCAATGCATTCATCTCACACAACACAACCATGTGCAATCAATGCTTGCTTTGCTCCAGGTAATCCATGAAAGCAACCCAACTCCAGTAGTAATTATCACTGAGCATGATCACGCTGTAGAATAACCTTAACAGGATTCATGTGCTGCCTTGTACGACTATGACTGATCACATGTCTAACAACACTTAGTCTACCAAATGGTATGACTTCAACTTAGGACTGAGTCAGAGATGAATATTTCATCAATACTACCTTTTTTGTATTTAAAGTGAAGTTTCCTGTGCTGTTAAAAACATTATATATGTTATGATTATAATCTAAACTTGACTTATGTTGGTGAGCAAAGATTTTTTATGCTCTAATCTATCTCTTATTAATTTACCGGAGTTTTGCCAAGCTATTGGTATCCAACTGACAAATAGAAAGTATAGGCTCACATAACCAATTTGTTGAAAGCAAAATTGGGATGGCGATCATTCATTAAATGACGCTTTACTAAAAAAATGTAAGAATTTCCCATATATATTTTGACAGCGTAATTAAAGAACTGATACAGCCTAGAAGCAACAATATATGGTCATGTCTATTGCAATTTCTTCAATTAGATTTCTGACCTAATAAATGAATTCACTTACAAAGACAACCATTCACCTTACAAGCAAACCCGAGCAATAACTATGGTTCTGCAAAAATTATGTTAAAAATGAGCAGTTCATATGTATACAACATGGCATTCGTCTCCATAGATCACAGATAGACCAAATTATCGATCGATTTTTGCTAAAACCACACAAAAAAATTCTTACAGATGCACTGAGATAATCCAAAATTGCAGAGCCATTTCAGCACAAAGTTTTCCTTCCCCAAACAGCAAGAATAGCCAACAAACAGCACCCATACCTAACATGCAATTCCGCCTCCACCACCAGCTACCCTTCCCCCTGCGACTTCACCGCCCCGACAATTATCTAACCCGCCTCAGTTTTTACACCCAACAAATAAAAAAATGGAGATGAAACCTAACCCAACAAAAATGAAGATTATCACATTCAAACCTTGATTTGGGAAGACGATCGCAAAACCTTGATGTGAAGATCGCGCAGCTTCGATTTGGCAATAGGAGCTCAATAGGAATTTCGGGGTTATGGGTTTGTGAGTGGCAAACGTTGCGGGAGAGAGCGAGAGAGAGAGAGAGAGAGAGAGAGAGAGAGAGAGAGAAATGAGAGGAAATACCGTTTCCCGT